CATGATTGATATACAAGCCATTTTTCTGGGCCTTCTTCTCTATCGAACCGTACAATGCTTACAGATTTCCCATCTGAGGGAAGGCGCATCCTACACAGATACGGTCATTCTTTTTGGCAGTTCTGGATTTTTGGCAGTTCTGCCTGGCACAGGGCATATCAGTTACCAATATCCCCGGTCTCTCCAACACCACGGCAGATTGGTATTCACGACACCTCAGAGATTCCAGCGATCGGCATCTGGATTCAAGAGTTTTCCAGGATATCCACCATTTATGGGGTCCACTGGACATAGACCTTTTCACTTCTGACTTGAACACACTGCTTCCCAGGTTCTTCAGTTGAAGACCAGGCCCAACAGCAATAGCAACAGATGCTTCCACCCAAAATTGGTTCTCCAAGACCTTCTACAACTCATGGTGTGGCTGATTTCAGGGGACCTTGCTCAATCGAGGGAGTTTCGGCAACAACTATCCTTCTTCTCAAGGGCACATGGGAACCTGGCACGAGACAAGCTTATAAGTCTACTTGGAGCAGATGGCCTGGTTGGTGCCTGGAACAAAACATGGATCCCGTATCGGCTCCTCTGACTTCAATCCTCCAATTCCTCACCTCACTTTTCACTGATAATAAGGCCTGTCGCATAATGTACCTATACCATTCTTCTATCTCTGCTGGACACAAAGGTTTGGATGGAACCCCAATAGGTCGCCACAATAAGGTGTGTAGACTCCACCGCAGAACAAGATTTGCTCGTCCCGCGTTATTTGGTTTTATGGGACGTTTCAATCATCCTCAACTTATTCGAATCTTGGCTGACTAATGCTTCATTATCTCTGAAACAACTATCAGCAAAACTAGTTATGCTTCTCTGTTTAGTATCCTGCAAGAGGGTTTCTGACGTCAGAGCTCTTGATGTTACTGCTCGCTCATATACTCCGGAAGGTGTCCTCTTTGACATATCACGAAGAACTAAAACTCCCTCGAAGAAAGTTTTGTATCCATCCTTTCCTGACAGACTGCTCTAATGCCCGGTCACATGCCTGCGAAAATATGAACTTCGCACTTCTTCACTACGGAACCCATGGAAACACGAACTCTTTGTTTCCTTCTAGAAACCACATATGCTGGTGTCTACCCCTGCCCTGGTTTGTTGTGTCAAATGGATTATGTCTCTGGCTGGTGTTGATACTTCACTAAGTCCTCCTTGATTGGTTGCAGCCTAGAGGACATTTTGAAAGCGGCCGACTGGTCTTCTGAGTCGATCTTCTGTGACTTTTATTTTAGACCTATTCAACACTTTGGGGGGACTGTAGTATCCCAGCTTTAAATCAGCATAATAGGAGCCTCCACGGCTTAATAAAATTCACAGATTTTACTATTAACATGATGTAAAGTCATGATTTTATTAACGACATGGAGGTGAGTATTATCCCTCCCTCCCACCCGAGAATTGAGTAGATTTGGGTACATTGACTTCAAGGTAAGTCTTAGAAGATAGTATTATCCAATTTCTAAGTGTCTACAGTTCAGTTGAGGCTACTCCTAATTAATATCGAACATTTATACTTGATGACAGATAGTATGATTTATGCATACATCCAGTTTTATACTTGGATATTACCATATTTCTCCTCTTTCTTCCAGCTTGATTTGACATTGCACCTTTACTGGCATGCTCTTCTTGTTGGTGTTGCCCTGTTCTGTGACACGTTTGTCCTTGTTCGGGATCGCAAGAAAGAGGAAATAGATTACGCATCATCGCCTATTATGCTGGAGAGCAGAAACTGATTGGATGTTCCTGTCGCTAGGAAGATATACCTCTCATGCTATTTATTGTTATCATACTGTTTGAATGTTATATTGTTTCTTTGATGCTGACGGAAATAAAGAAAGAGTGGAGCATAATACTCGCCTCCGTGTCGTTAATAAAATCATTTAAGTCATGTTAATAGTAAAATCTGTGAATTCACTATGAATTCTCACGTTGGGGAATATCCCTGTAAGTCTCCACAACTAATAGTTATGTGGAGAATCCAGTGTTTGTAAACTGAAGCACATGCAACTCTTAAATGCAAACATGGTGTGTGTCATGCAAATTTAGTTCACAAAAGTCTTGAATAATCTTCTGCTTCCATACCTCCTAAATTTCCCTATAAAGGAGAGACAGTCCCTGCATTTGACCCAACTCCCTCTGTCATAACTTTCTATCCTAATGTCCCACTTTTCTAGGAGCTCCATATTGTTGGTGTGTCTGAGTGTATAACAGAGCTCCACAGCAATAATACTCACAATAATGTGTCTTTAAACTTAAATGTGTTTCAAAATGAGTTTGTGTAAAGTAGATACACTGTTACTGTTCTAAGTTACATTTTAGTTGCATAATTTTTTACTGAATAGAATTTTCTTTTTCTTTTAGTCCATTTCAACTTTTCATAAAATGCAATTTCTTTTATTAAATTCTGCATCGTGTGATTGGTGAACAACTACTACATACTAACAAATCTTTAAAAAATATATCCTACTGTATTCACTAGGGGCTGAATTTTCTTTTTCATTGGATCAATTCTCCTGTATTTGGTTGTTAAAATTCCTTTGTGGTTAATGGTATTCACGAACAACCAAATGATAACCGAGGCAAAAGGATTCCTGCTTTTTATTTATTTATTTATTTTACGTCATGTATTTCTGTTGAGAAAAATATAGGATAAGCATAGATAACCAGTGAATATGTATAAGCAATCAAATGAGTAGTAACATAACAACACAGGAGGGGAACAAACAGCTAAATTAAAAGTAGGATATTCAAGTAGTAAAAAAGAGTTTAGATAAAGTTTAAATAAAAGCTCTACTAACGTTTATTCCAGCGCCGTCAGCAGTCCCTTTGGGTCACCAACAAATTCCGCAGCGCTGTACAATGGGTGGACTAACAGAAAGATATATGTAACCAGACTTGTTGGACACAGAGGAACAGAGGGGGTTGAGGGCCCTTCTCAAATGAATTTACATGTAGTAGGTGTCACATCATGCCTTGTTCTGCGGATCAGGCTGGTGATGGCTTCTGGTATCCAGTACTCTTTTTACAATTCTTGTTTAGTTTTTCTTGGTTTTTTGGTTTTCCATTCCATGTCTGGTTTTCCTTATGCTGGGTTTTCTGGGTTCATTCCATTATTCCAGCCCGGGATTCATTTATATGTTTGTTTTATGTTGCCACACCCGTTTGTTTTCCATTTTCCTCTTGTTTCAGTCTGGACCTGCAGCAGTGTTTTATTTTGTAATCCCAGTTCATATACAGTCCTGTCCTGCCCTGTTCTTGTTTTCCTCATGTCTTGTGTACATGTTCTGGGTTCTGCTTTCTGTCCTGCTCTGGTTCTGGGTTCTATTAGTTCTGTCTTGTTTTCATGTTTGGTGACTATCCTAGCCTTGCCTTGTTTCTGTACTGGATACATGTCTGCTGCAGAGCCCCTCTATCCAGTTCCTGGGAGGCCTGCATATCAAGCTCCTAGTTCCTGGGATCTGCTGTAGCTGCATCAGGGTTTCTTTTATGTGGCCGCGCAAACACTGGTGTTCAACGCCAGAGGAAGTGTGGTTACCCTGCACCAGGCTCTACGTGTCCACTAACACGTTGAAGACTCCACTCATCATCCACTCCAGGCACTCAGGGGTCCCGGTTTCCGTACCGCCACCCGTGACAGTAGGATAACATGCCTACAGTGTTCCTTTACGTTTAGGGAGGTTTTTAAAGATTTAGATACAATTCCTCTGGTCTGTATAAGAGGAATTGGAACAATCGAATGAAGCCAATTTGGCTGCAGTTCAGCTGTTTATGAACAACTGATCTACCCATGTTAAAGATGACTTCAATAAACAACCACACTGCAGGTGATGGAACTACAAACTACACGTTGAAATAACCGTTTTTGTTTTTTCCATTTGTGAAAAAAACCACAAATCGGTTAACAGGTGAAATGTGACAAACAAAGAGCACTGTTGGATTGTTGTTCGGAATTTTAAGTGGTAAAATGTATTTGCAATAGTTTAGAAACATTAAGATTCTTTTTTGGTGGGAGAGAGTGATAAGCCAAAAAATATTGGAGAAAAGTACATTAACATACTCTAGCTATGTATCATAATAATAATAATACAGCTTTCACACACCTGTCTTCATAAAGTGTCACAGCTGTAAATGCATATCAGAGCAAAAAACAAGACATTCAACGGCTGCATTAAAGGTATCTTCAAATAAGTTCAGTGTTCAGGGGCCTCCATAATTCTTAAAAGGACTCTTGCTAGAGCTGGCTGGCGGGTCAAACTGAGCAATCGATGGAGAAGAGCAAGGTTAAGAGAGGTTACCAAGAATCCAATGGTCATTCTGGGTGATCCCAGAGATCATGTGTGGAGATGGAAGGACAACCTTCATTGCAACACTTCACCAATAGAAGCCTCTCCTTACTGCAACACACATTAAAAAGCTAATTTAGGGGGCGGAGCCTGACTAACAAGCGGACTAGACGTGCATGTCGAGAGCTCCTGAGTCCGGAGCCAAGATTCTGGGTCTAACGCCTGACCACCCGATCATATCGACTGCTAAACGCAATAATCGTGACAAGGAGACTGCACTGCAACCGGAGATACCCAACACTTGGCTCTCCGGTGCTGGGCGGACCAAATCGTGACCTGCGGCCTGTGCGGGTGGGAGCCGGGGAGAGGCGGCCGCTCTCCCGGTTCTCTGGCTGACAAGGGAGCACTCCCAAATCACCTCCCTCCCCCCCCCTGGACCGGTGGGGGTTATCCCGGTCCTCGAGGACCCAAGCTGCCTCAGTCGCGGACGCTTCTGTGAGCCCTGCAAAACTCCCTAGTCACACGGGAAGGGAGTCACTCAAGATGGCGGAGGCACCAGGCCCTACAACACGAGGTCTGATACTGCCACAACCTGTCTCAGCAGGCCCTAAGACCAATGTAACGGACACTCTGGGAGCCATAATCGACAAGTTTCGGGCCATGCTGCTCAACCGTGCAAGGCAAGCAACGACCACACGGGAGCCCGATAAGGAAGACCGTGTAAGCAATAAGGAGCGGCCTGGGAGGCCTCCTATGGGCCGACAGCTACCCCACACTAATCCGACTACACTAAAGCGACGGAAGCCGCGGAAACAACACTACCGGCTGAGACAGCGAGCCGCGGACAGACGCCCTGCCCACCGCTGCCGTGAAATACCGAACCCCAACATACCACCACTTGTCCTGGGCTACATGGAGAAACCGCCACGGCCACCTCTGAGCCGCTCCCCAGGCCGTCCGGGGCAAGGCATCTCCCCACCAAACGAGAGAGCCGCTGCCTGGCGAGTCACCAACATGCTGGACAGACTGGTAAACCCTGTGGGCATAGGCTGAAAGGGATCAACCCGAGTGACATGTGGAGCTGGGGCCACCTCTATACAATTAACCTCTTCACGGGACATTGTAACAGTCAGCAGAATAAGGCTCCGATATCCACACTCAGCGTGTACATAGTTCATACTGTTGTTTAATTTTATATGTACCAGCTTAGCCATGATATATGATTTCTTAAGCACTTTCCTTTTCTTGCATCGCTTCAACTTGCATAAGTGCCCATAACCTCTCTCAGCAGGATTAACCTGCGATTAGCAGCCTGCCATTGAATACCCCACTCTGTGTCTGCTTAGGCTTGGGTAATGTAATCTACATCAAAGTAAATAGTGCAGTAACTCAGACATGTGATGTACTCTATTAGCTAATATCTTGCAATGTATAAGATTGTGTTCCATAAGCCTAGCAGGAATAGCACCCTAAGTCTGAACACAAATGTATGAGCCCAGCCCTCAGAAATGCTGGACTCACTATTTCAGCCACCACCATGCCACTAGTTTACCCAGAATAAATAGCCGGCCGTAAAAGGGCATTAGCCGAACGGGCCCACAGAAGCCCTCTATTGTGCAGCATGACATAAAGGCGATGCAGGATTGTTTTGATGCTCCCAAACCTGAGGCAGTGCTAGGTAGCCTAGCCACACGGATGTCTTTGGACGCCATTTAATATATAGCTAACTGTGGCCGTAAACGCGGGCAGATACTGGGTCCTCAACCATGCAAAAGCGCAGCCATACCGAATATTAATGTTATACTACTGTTCTTATACAAAAATGTACTGATTATTTTACTGCTCCTACTGTTATGCTTGAAAATATGCTCAAGGAATGCTGTTGTGGCGCCATGAGCTTGCATGTATTTCTCTCAACGCACAATAAAAATAAAGAATTTAAAAAAAAAAAAAAAAAAGCTAATTTAGCATTTTCAAAATAATCACCTAAAGGACACTCAGACTATAAGAAACATGTCATATCTGGAAGAAACAAAGCACAGTTCATCACTATCACAATACCATCCCAGTGGTAAAATATGCATCATTCTCAACACCTCAGACTGAGCCAAAATTTTATTTTCCAACAGGGCAATGACCCTACACACACAGCCAGGACCATGCAAAGTGGCTTAGGAAATGTCCTTGAATGGCCCAGTCAGAACCCAGACTTGACAACAAATGGACATTTCTGGAGAGTTTTAGAAATAGGTGTCCACGGATAGTTCCTAGTCATGTCTCTTCCTAGCCATGTCTGCTTTCGTCAGGACAGTTGATATTTCGGGGTTCAGTCCCACCATCCTTTAGTTCCCTAAAATCCAGCATTTGTGGGTACCAGGGAACTGTTCCTGAGCAGCAAAGTGCAAGCACATCATTAGATCCACTCACTCTGTGCAGCAGACACTAGGATCATGCAGAAAACACTTCAGCAGCGCTCCCTGCATGTTCCTGTCAGTGACAGGCTGTCACATCCCTTGAGTTGACCGGTCTGTCCTTTTCCAGTCAAACCCACCAATTATGGGTGTTGACAGTGATGTGAGTCATGTCACTGGTAACAGCCCTCCTCAAAATCTCCCTCTCGGTTTTGATTTTTGATTGCATACCACCCATTGTTGGAAGTTATGCCCATCCAACCAAACAGACATTGGGAGCATCTGCAGAGATTAATGGCAGTAAACTACTCAAATCCAGATGTATAAAGCTTGTCGTATTATACCCAAAAACACTTGTAATCACTGCCAAAGGTGCTTCAACTAAGTACAGAGTTAATGATCTGAATTCATTGAACTTATGCTATGTGATATTTCAGTTCTTACTGTACAATATATTTGCAATGGCATAAAAAATTGGATTTTTGCTCTTTAATTATGGAGTATTGAGTGTAGACCTCTAGACCAACCTTTTTCTACCTACCGCCCACTAATGCATCTTTCTTGATGGAAAAATTTCCTTACCCCCCACCAGTTTTCATGCAAGTGTGGAATATTTATTAGGAAGGAGGGTGTTTTAAAAAAAACTAAAAGCACGTACATTTATCTTTTTATTTCTACTTAATGCATGTTTATAATGTTTTTAACTTTATTAAGTTTAATGAGAAAACAATAAAGTAAATCGAAATTACCTTTACTAGTGATTAATGAGATCCTTGAGGTTGATGCTGCGAGACTAAATATTTGATATCTGGTTCGATTTTCGTAAGGAACAAACGAAGGTCTCCTCTTTCGGTGATATTCAGACGACTTCTCTGTTTGCGCATAATATGATTTCTCATCTGTGCGTCAACTCATCTCCTCTCCCTCCTCAATTCCCCTCCCCACCTTTTTTCCCCTTTTTTCTATTTTTTAACCTTCCTTATAGCAATGCCAAGTAGGAAGGCTGAGCTAGGTAGCCCACTTACTATAGCCCACTATAACAGACAGGCACACATACATACATACATTCAGACACACACACAAGACACACATACACACACACATACAAAGACACACAGACAGGCACACATACATACATACAGACACACAGACAGGCACACATACAGACACACACACAAGACACACAATACACATACATACAGACAGGCACACATACATTCACACGCACACAAGACACATACATACAAACAGACAGGCACACATACATACAGACATGCACACACACACATACAGACACACACATACAAAGACACACACATAAGACATACATAGACACATACACACGTACAGACAGACACAAGACACACATACAAAGACATACACATACATACAAAGACAAGACACACATACATATAGACAGACTGACACACACACACACGACATACATACATACAAAGACACATACACACACATACAGACAGACACACACAAGACATACATACAAAGACACATACACACAAACACACACAAAATATTTTAGTCACTCTCCTGTTTCCTACCTCTTAGGTGCAGGAGGGTGACATTCCCTGGGGTCCAGTGGTAGCTCAGGTAGATGGGAGTCAGAGTTCCCACTCTGACTCACGCTGCTTCCTCCTGCGCGGCCTGTGTGTTAGCCTGGAGGAGTGACGTGCAGTCACTTCCTCCCAGCTCTGTGATGTAATCACAGGGGGTCCGTTAGCGCTGTTAAAGCGCCCAGCGCTGACCGGGCCCCCTTACAATCTACATCCATCGAGTGGCCCTGACAGCATGAGCCACCTGATGGACCCCTTGGGGGGTGGTTTGCCGCGTGGGCCGGGGCCGCAAATGGTGACGGCGGTACCCGGTCGCAGGGGTACCGCCGGCTCGCACCCGCCCGCCCAGTCTCTCAAAACGAGGAAATCCCTACCGTCCACCTGGAATCCTGAAACGCCTACTAGTGGGCGGTAGGGACCAGGTTGACGACCCATGCTCTAGACTGTAAGCTGGTTTGAGCAGGGTCCTCCTCTACCTATTGTTTCCTGCGACATTTGTCATAATCTTGTACGTCGCTGTAGAATAAGTTGGTGCTATATAAATACCAATAATAACAATGTGAATAAAAAAAATTAAACAATTGCTGCATTCCAACAAAACAAATGATAAAAAAAATTAAGGGATCGGACTACTTTCTCAATGCAATCTATACGAAAGTTATTTGGCCATTTTTATTTAATTTGTCACATCTACTATATGTTTGCTACTATACGAACATGTAGAAGACTCCTTGTAAAACTTTGCATGATAAAGGACACTGCATACAGTCTAAAGCTTTTCATTTTTCAAATATTTTTATAAAAGCTGAACGATTTAAGTGAAAAAGAATAACTATATGTAAATTTACAAAATGTAAATATTTATCCAATATTGAGTGATATAACTACAATCCATTTACCTCTTGTGAGTGTAATAGCTTACACTTTATAGTTGTTGTACATACAATATTGCTATATATATTGTTTTTCATATTTGTGTTTTTGTTAAATTTTTAAGTTTGTCTGCAAAGCAATCTCTATAAAACATAGTGTGTTAAGAAATATTTATATCATAAGCTAGGCATCCCTTTGTTTTAAATATTTTTATTGTTTTCACTATATAAGTGCATATTGCGAACTGGTTCGTTATAAAGCCAGAGGTTGCCCACGCAGGGGCTTAAGCAGTAAGTTATAGCATTCATTAAGGTGAACGGTCGCCTACGTAGAGGCTTAAATGTTAGCACATAGGAATAGATGCAGATTATCGCCTGCGCAGAGGCGTAATGATCAGAACATATAGGCGTACTTGAACTTTGCAGGAGTACATTTCTAAGCATTACAGCATAAAAGGTAACAACATCCTATAATGTGTCAATCTGAGGTAAACTGTAGCTGATCATGCAATAAACAATTAAACATTAAGATGCGCGTAGCTGATGGCCTTATGTGTAGTTAATAAATCACGTCATGTTTCGTGCCATTAAATAAGCGGTACTAAGTAACGCGGTGTTAAGTAGTTGTTAGCATTGTGTCATTGCCCTATCAACTGCGCCACAGGCACGCTGTGAAATGAATGTGCAACTATTATATCCTATGTACAAGGGCTTATGCAAGGGGAAACATTAGCCTGGTTAGCCCTAGCTAAACACATTTGAACTTTTAACATATAAGTCACTTCGCTGGAGGGGGCGTAATGACGCCCGGTATGTTGAAGCCATCTGGTGTGAAATTGGCAGTCTTCTTCGCAGCTTTTATTCTGGTATGACCTTCCCATGGCTACCTCTGAATGATGCTGCACATGGTGGGTCAGCTGTACCCCCCCTGAGTCTCTCCGGGTCCCCCGGGTGTGACAGTGCCCTCCCTTTCCCACCCCAAGTCGTGTTTCCGCATCTTTAGGGGGCACAACCCCGCTGTGGGCACTCGGAGGCCGGAGCTGTCCGGCGGCCTCCCCACCTTAGAGTCCACTGGGCTCCCGCCTCCTGCACCTCCCCAGCTTCAGCATGGCCTCCTTGGGGCCCCAGCCCTGACTTGCCACCTCCTCCTCCGGCCACTTACATGTTGCCGGCGCGTGCCCTCCGGCCACCGGTCCGCC